TGGATGATACTTTTTAGTGGAGAACTTGCTGGATTGGGGGGTGGGGGCAGGTTGGAGGGGTTGCTGTCATTCAGGCTCTGTGCTACCACAGAGTACGGAGAAGGTTTTTTTGAGGCTTTTAAATTTCTGTTTTCCCGATTTATCTCTGGTTCCCCCAAATGGGAGGGAACTTATTTTGGTCATCTCTGAATTCCCAATCTCAACGTAACATGTTAGTGTTGTGAGGTGCTGTTGAGTCCGACTGCTGGTGCCCCAAACACTACCTGGTCCTGCTCCATCTTCACTTTTGTTGGAGTCCGTCGTCCTTGCAACCACTTGGTCAATCCATCAAGTTGAGAGTGTTCCTCTTTATGATGTCCTTCTCCAGGAACTTGCCCCTCCTGATAATATGTACAAAGTATGTGAGATGAAATCCCGCCATCTTTCTGGTAAAGGAGCATTCTGATTTTACTTTTTTCCAAAGACAGATTTCTTTGTTCTTCTGGCAGCCCTTTGTTACCAACACTGTAACTTAAATGCACCAAATCTACTCCAGTCTTACTTATTCATTGTCCAGACTTCATATGCTTATGAAGTGATTGTTCAGATTTCATATGCTTGGGTTGGATGCACCTTAGTCCTCAAGGTGGCATCTTTTCTTTTTAAAACTTTCAAGAGGTCCTAGTTGTTATTGTTAAGAATTGTGGAGTCAGTTCTTACCCATAGCAACCCTGTATAGGGTGAGTTTGAACAGCCCCCACCATGTGGTTTAAACCAACCTTGCAGTCCAGTGCATTCACCCACAGCACCACACCAGGACATCAAGTCCCAATGGGGCTCAGTAAGTGTTTGTTGACTGGGTAAGTAGAGCTTGGTAATGTTTTCCACTTAAAATGCAGTTCCCTTGCTCATTCTGAACACTGGGGTTATGCAGCTGACCACTGAACCCCAGGAGCCCACAACTTGGCCACAGTCACCCAAGATGTGGACTTTAGTGAGTCCTTGCTTGCACCAAGACTTTTGGAGCAGCTTGTTGTTGTTGTTGTTAAGTGCTTCTGAGTTGGTTCTGACTCCTAGCAACTCTGTATGGGGTTTCTGGGAAGTGACTTGTGTTTGAACCACAGACCTTGCCACACCAGGAGCAGCCTATTAGCTTGTGAGTTTTAAGGGACTTTACTGGCTCATATTTAGCATCCATCCATTTGAATTGTATTCACATTTTCTTTGCTTGGTGTGAGACTCAGCCCCTGCCTCCTTATCTGCCCAGGTGTTCAACAGGAAATGGTTCTTTGGTGGGTGTGATATGCAAATTAAGTTAATTTTTGCAAGCTATAAGTGGAACCCTATTTACCTACATTAGGGACTAGAGTGAAAGGCATTTTAATGGTTGAGTACCTAAACATAGCTTAAATGGGCGTGTGAAATGTCACTTCTCTTTTGCCCTTCCTTCTTCTGTTTTATTTTCCTCCAAGGCAAAGATAGAACTTTTCTTTGAGTAGCAAAATGGGGGTAGGGAAATGGGGGTGGAAATGACTTTAAATGTTCCTATCTCCAGAATGTGATGACTGGCTGTCTGGCTATGTTAGAGCTGTTCAGTAGTGTTTTGTACATTAAGTCACCAGCCGCCAGATTAATATATGTTCTCTTGAACTTGCAGTCTAGAGCAACAGAAGACACTACATGCTTTCAATGGGCAAAAGCCAAGCTCAAGGTGCCGGGTTCATTTCCTTATTGTGGATATAATCTCACCAGATCCCTGTCACTGAAATAATCCACATTTTACAGATGAGGTATATGAAGTCACACAGCTAGGAAAAAGCAACTGGATTTTAAACTTAGGTCTTTGGCCTTCAGAATTCATGCCAACTATACCTGAAGTCCTGGTGTACTGGTGTGGCACTGCTGAATAATGCACTGGACCAAAAGGTCCCTTTGAATTACAAGGTGGGCAGTTCAAATCCACCAGCCGCTCCTTGGCAACCTTATAGAGGGTCACTGTGAGTCAGAACCGACTTGACGTCACTTAACAACAACCTCCCAGGTGCACAGCTAGCTCAGTTGATAGAGCATGAGACTTTTTTTTTTTTTCTTCTTAAATGTTTTATTGTGAATTATGTGATCGTTTACATGGGAGAACATTAATTTTACATTCATTCTATCGTATATCGTCTCATTGCCATGGTTACAATCTCCCATGCATCATCAACCAAACAAAGGGTATACCCTGCAAGCCTGCCCCCCTATCCCCCAGGATTTCAGCATACAGTCGCTCTCCCTCTCTGGACCTAAAGTCCCCAGCTGCTCCATCGCTCCACATCAGCATCTCTGCCTCCATTTCAGGCATCACTGCTTCTCTAGGTAGCGTTCTGCTCTCCACTCTTCTCCCTTGATGGTCCTAGGGACCTCCGCTCCTAGACTGAAAAGTTAATCACTCCCCTCCTTGCTATACAACGTCTACCTTTACATTTCCAACCTTCACAATCCGTCCTGATAACAATTATTCACTATTGTATCACAAGAGACCTGTCTGCATTTCATTGCATCACTGGAGATTCTGCCTTCCTCCAGGCCCTCTGGATCTAGGTTCCCTCTTGAAAGCTTGTAAGCCAGTCACTTCTTGCCTTTGTAGCCCCCCACCCCCCATTTTGGGTATCCAATGTCCAAGTTGCCCATCCCTGTCTACTCTGTGTGTGGAGGGGGGGGGAATGTCTTGCTGTAACGAACTTGTTCCCTCTTTTGAGCTACTACTTCCATAGGTGTAGATCAAGTTCATCAAATTGTATGAGAATACTTTTTTTTTTCCTTTTCTTTTTACTTCTGTTGAGCTCTGATCATCTAGTCACTGAAGCCAGGGTAAGTGGGTATTATCTACAAGTGTGGGCGTTCTTATGCATATGCCCTCTCGTCTTATCAGCTGGACGCTTCACTCTCCACTCTAATCCTCTGTGGCTATGTCACTGACTCTGGGCCCAAGAGTCCCCAGGTCTTGCCACACTGCTGGTCAGCCAGGTCTTCACCCGGGTTCACAGAAGTCTATTGAACATTGTAGGGCTTAGCTCACCACTTCATTGCTGTTTTTCCCTCACTTCCCCTTATTGGTGTCGAGCGTGGTCACCAATCAGAGCGTGTATTCCCATTGAGTCTTAGTCTTGGAAGGGGGTTTTCACTGAGGGGACCCAACCACTTGCCTTGATGTTTCCTGGGCAAGCACGTTGCTTGTTCTTGTAGTAACAGTCGGTCTGCCTATGTTGTTTTATATTTTTCCTGTAGGTCTTTCTTTCAAGAAGTATCTTCTGTTCTTGTAGCCACTCCAGGCTGGAGCATAAGACTTTTTTATCTTGGGCTCTTGGATTTAAGCCCCACATTAGACATTGAATTTTGGAATCCTGTGTGGCATTACAGGATAAGCACTGGACTGCATGCTAAAAGGTTGATGGTTCAAACCCACCAGCTACTCCTCAGAAACTCTATAAAGGTTCCCTGTGAGTCATAACTGACTTTACAACACTTAACCTGATTCAGTGAACAAGATTCATTAACAATCTGGGATATGGAGATGACACAATCTTGCTTGCTGGAATCAAAGAGTAATTCAGTGCTTACTGGTAAAGATCAAACACTACAGCCTTCAGTATAGATTGTACCTTACTGTAAAGAAAATAATAATCTTCACAACTGGGCCAATAAATAACATCATGGTAAACAGTCCTGGTGTGGTGCTATGGGATAAAGCACTGGACTGCAAAATTGGTTTAACCACAAGGTTGGCGGAGGTTCAAACCCACCAACTGCTCCTTGGCTATAGGGTTTCCAAGGAGTGGCCCTTAACAACAAACAGAGAAAAGACTGAAATTTTCGAAGACTTCATTTTGCTTAGGTTCACAATCAACACTAATGAAAGCAGCAATCAAGAAATCAAAATACATACTGCATTAGGCAAATATGCTGCAAAGAAACCTCCTTTAAGTGTTAATGTTGGTTTGAAGACTCTAATGCACCTTATCCAAGCCGTGGTATTTTCAGATGCTTCATGTGCGTGTGAAAGTTGGACAATGAATAAAGAACACCTTAGAAGAATCCATGCTTTTGAATTATGGTATTAGTGAAGCATATTGAAAGTGCCGTGGACTGGCACAAGAACAAACAGATCTGTCATGGAAGAAGTACATCCAGAATGATACTAACAAGCGAGGATGGTAAGAACATTTCTAGTTTTTTGGATATGTTGTCAGAAGGGATAAGTCCCTGGAGAAGGACATCATGTTTGGTGAAGTGAAAAAGAGGAAGACCTCTAATGAACTAGATTCACACATTGGTAGCAACAGAGGATTCAAACAACAGTTGTGAGGATAGGCAATGTTTCATTCTGTTGTGCACAGTAGGGTTGCTATGAGTTGGAATCAACTTGACAGCACATACAACATACCTGAACAAATGTTCTCATGAAAAAACGCTGGAAAACATAATCAAAGTTTAAAAATCAAATAAGAGCAAGGAAGGAAATTTTGGCAAAACGCCCCAGACTATTGACAAACAGCCAGTAAACACAAGAAAAGATGTTCACTCTCAACAGTAAGCCAAGAAAGATCAGGTTTTGCTTTAGATTGGAAAAGCGATAAGAGAATTATAATAGGGAAGATGTCTAATACATTTATGGAAATGTCAGTTCAACCATGTTAATGGACAGTTTGGTAATACCTTGTTTGGGGGTTTTTTGTGTTTTATTTTGTGTGTGTGTATGATACCTTTTGACTTACAAGAATTTCACTTATAGGAATTTACAGATATAATTGAACAGATGTCCAAAGAAATATATTCAAGCGATTCTTGTAACTATTGGATACAAGTAGCAAAAAAATTAGGAATAATCTGACTCTTTACCAGTAATAATAGTAATAAATAATAGTTACATAGTAATAATATTATATAATAATGGTAATAAATAATGGTTACATTTATTGAGGAGTCCTTGTATGGCTCTGTAGAATAAGCATTGGACTGTTCACCGCAAGGTAGATGGTTCAAACCCATCAGCTACTCCTTGGAAACCCTAAACAGGGTCACTGTGAGTTGGAACCGATTCTATGGCACTTAACAACAACAATGACATTTATTGAAGGAGCCCTAGTGACTTTAGGATTAAGTCCTTCAGTTGCTAACAAAAGGTTGGAAGTTCAGTCCCACCTAACTACTCTGAACGAGAAAGACCAGGTAGTGTGCTCCCGTAAAGATTACAGTCAAGAAAACCTTACGGGACATTTCGCCTCTTGGGGTTGCTTTGAATCAATCAACTTGACATCATCTAACAACATTTATGGAACATTATCTTCCTTCAAAGTACTGTTTCATGCACTTTACATGTTTTATCTTATAAGATCTTCTTGACCAATCTTTGACATAGTCATTTATACCTAATATAGAGATGTAGACCATAAGTCCCAGATATAATTGGATAAACACATAATTATACATTTATATTGTGAAATACAAGATGTCGTTGTTGTTAAGTGCCATCGAGTTGGTTCCAACTCATAGCGACCCTGTCTAGGGTTTCCAAGGAGTGACTGGTGGGTTTGAACCGCTGACCTTGCAGTTCAAACTGACCTTGCAGTCTGGTATATTATCATTATCCTGCAGCGCCACATTAAAAATGATGTGGAATTTAATAATTGACAAGAAATATGTTTGTGATATATTGTGTAGAAGAAAATAGGTTGTGTTATGGATTGGATTCTATCAAAAAAAAAAAAAAAAACATGTGCCCTAAATTCTAATCTCAGACCTGTAGTCATAATCCCATCTGGGAATGGGTTGTCTTTTTTATGTTATTGAGTCCAAATTGTTGGTGTTATTACTATCTTTGGTTCCAACTCATAGCAACGCTGTATAGGGTTTCCAAGGAGTGACTGGTGGGTTTGAACCACTGACCTTGCAATTAGTGTTCCAGTGATTATCCTACAGTGCCACACCAGGACTTTGAGGACAGATTAGTATAGGGTATGTTTTTAATCAATTTCTTTTGCGATATAAAAGAGATTAAACAAGGGGGCAGAGCAGAGATGGGAGTAGAGAGGTGCTAAGTTACCTGAAGATAACCCATGAATAGAAGCTTAAAGAGTCCAGGACCTTCCCCCCACAGAGCAAAGAGCTGAGATTCTGAGTCCAGACTTCGCGCTTCCTAAACTGTGAGAAAATATGTTTGTTTGTTAAAGCCATCCACTTGTGGTATGTATGTCATAGCAGCACTGGATCACTTAGACAAGTGATAAGCAACATAATTACATAATTATATGAATGAATGTCTGGAATGGTATTAACCAAATTGTTAGCAGTGGTTATTTACTGGGAGAATTTAAGTAAGTTAGTAGTTTCTATTTCTTTATATTTTAAGTCCTTTAAAATGCAGAGTATTGGGTATTTTTGAAAGAGGTTTTATAAATTCATCAACACTTAGAGCAACCTTTAGGCTGTAGTTTTGACTTGAGATTTATAAGACCAATAGACCTAAGTTTCCTTCCCTATCCCACACTCATTCTTTTATAAAAAGGAAGCAATTTACCTGGCCATCCACCACAGGTGGCCTTTTTTTACCCCTTTATTATTAAGTGCTTTGAGTCACTGATTCATAGCAACTGTGTATAAGGTTTCCAGAGCTGTACATCTTTGTGGAAGCAGAAAGCCTCATCCTTCTTCTACTGAATGGCTGGTGGGCTCGAACCCCATACTGTAATTGGCAGTCCATTGCTTATATTACAGAGCCACTGTGCTCCCCTTTTCCCCTGAATGCATAGGTTTCTATTTTGTTTTAATTATGGTGAAAAAATATATAACAAAGTATTTGTCAATTCACCATTTTTTGCATGTATAAATTTGGTGGTTTTGATTATGTTCACCATGTTTTATAACCATCAGCATTTTACCCCTTCCAAGTTATTGAATCTCCTTTCACAGAAACACAGTGCCCCCTCACTGTATTTTTTGTAGCTGGACATTCTTGCAAATAATTAGCACAGTTACTTTTTAAGTTTTACATCATTTAATTTTTTTTTAATATATCTCTTTTGGTTTCTTTTTCTAGATAAAATTAAGATGTTATAAGGTAACAAAGCAAAAAAAGTAATACTTGGCACAGTTCATTGTCTGGGATAGGTACTCAATAAATGTTAATCTGATCAGTGAAATTCTAGTGGATCAGACTGAAAGAAATTGAAAAGCATCTGTTGTAAATACTGAATTAATTCATCTTTTTTTTTCCTGTTTCTTTGATAGAAAATAAAATCACTGGTTCACTACTGCCATTTCTTGATGAATCTCTCCTTGAGAATCTTGGAGTAAGGTAAGTGATAAGTGATAAAAGTCACATAGTAGCCAAGCACACTTAGAATTGTTTTATTCACCTCTGAGGGACAAATCCAAGATCCCTAATATTAACTGTCCTGATTGTAAATGTATGAAGTGTTTTAAAATAGATTCCCATTCCTTCCAACTAGCACAGTATTTTATTATTGTTGTTGCTGCTATGAAAATTCAGCGTTTAATATTACTGTGATTTCTGCTTTAACAAGTTTTTCTGACAAGCCTTTATGAAGTTTGTAGTGACCAACTTTTTACTCTCAACTTCAGAATAATTAAATTATATACACCAGAAAAGATTTAAGAGGAGTCCTGGTGTGGTGCCATAGGATAAGCACTCGACCTCAAGGTCAGTCAGTTTAACAGCAAAATTGACGGTTCAAACTCACCAGCCCCTCCTTGGAAACCCTGTACTGGGTTGCTAAGATTTCCCTGTGTAAGGCTGGAAATTCTAAAGTGGGTGCTACTTTAAAGATCTCAGTTGAGGATTCAATTGATTAAATTATTCCTTAAAATGAATCTTCTGTTTTCGTTAAGGAATTGGCAGCAGTGATGAAAGATAGGCCCTTTTTCCTGGTATTTTACTTTTTTTCTGGAATTTTACTTTTGGCTAAATATTGTGTTCATATTAACTAAGGGATCAAAACAAAAGACTAGACTGAATAATTTCACATACAGTTGTATGTTACCTTAGGAAACAATTGGTCTAAAGGACTAATGGATCACATAGAGCATAGCTTCCAAACCAGAAGAACTGGTGGTGCTGACTGTCCTCACTCTGATTGCAACCTCAGAGGGTCCTGGACAAAAGGGGCCAAAACTGTAGAACAAAATTCAAAATCATAAAACTGGTGGAAACTTCAAGAAGTATAGCCCTTAGATACCCTTCAAGAATAGAATGAACTCATCCTCAGGGATCACCTTGCAGCCAAACAACAGACAGGCCTATGAAGTAAACAACAACACTTAGGAGAAACATATTTTTCAGAGTGATCAACCATATAAGGTCATAAGGTTAATATTGGCCCAAAAACAATGCTCAGAAGGCAGAAAGGAACAGGCCAGAAAAAGGAATGGAAGTGCGCAATCCAAGGAGGAGACTGGAAGAGTGCTGTGCATTGAGGGAATTGCCACTAATGTAACAAAAGAAAATGTTTTAAAAATGATCCAGTGGAAACCAATATGCTCTGTTGTTGTGTACCATGGAGTCGGTTCCGACTCATAGCGACCCTGCACAGGGTTTCTGAGGCTGCAAATCTTTACGGGAGCAGAAAGCCTCATCTTTCTCCCACAGAACGGCTGGTAGTTTCAAACTGCCAACCTTGAGGTTAGCAGCCTGATTCGTAACTACTGTTGCTACCAGAGCTCCTTAATATGCTCTGTAGGTTTTCCTAATCCACAATTTAAAAAAACAATAAAAACCACTTAGGACTTTTAACTGGCTTCTAATAAGTGTCCTTTAGATCTGAATCTTCAGGAACCTGATTTTGGCTATTTTGTACCCACATTCCCCCTCTCCCTTATATTTTTGTTCTCCAGCCCTTTCAATTCCCCTCAAACCTCGCTCCTTACTGTTTGTTTCTTATGTGTAAATAGTTGCTTACGATTTGAACTAAGTGGGATTTAAGAGAGTCTTTCTTTTAAAGAGAACCATATAAGTTCTTTGTGGACCGAATACTATTGGTTCATTCAGTTAGAGTCTTGGTGTGGCACTGTAGGATAAGCATTGGACTGCTTAAGGCAAGGATGGCAGTTCAAACCCACCAGTCGCTCCTTGGAAGTCCTGTACAGGTTTGTTATGTGTCGGAACCGATTCAACAGCACTTAACAACAATAACAACACTATGTGCTAGGTTTTTTTTTTTCAGAATTTCTGGGACACATAAGTGAATAAGAGATGAACCCCAGATGGAATACTGTGTGGTACTTCTCTTCTGCGCACCTTGTAACTCTTAGGGTAGGATAACACAGATTATTAGAGCTACTCTGTCCTATATGGTAACCACGAGCTGTGTTGTTGTTAAGTGCTGTCAAGTCGGTTCCGATCCATAGCGACCCTGTATAGGGTTTCCGAGGAGCAGCTGGTGAGCTTGAACCACCGACCTTGCAGTTCAAACTGCTTTGCGGGCTGGCAGGTTGGCGCATTAAGCCCCGCAGCGCCACACCAGGACTGTAACTACTAGCTATGGATAAGTTAGCATTTTTGGTTGCACTGGTACCTCTGTGAACAAGTAGGGCTAATTCCACTGGGATTCTCCAAGACTATTCAATAGAACTTTCTGCAATAATAGAATTGTTCTAGATCTATAATGTCCAACACTGCTGCACAAATGGATATTGAACTCTTTAAATATCATTAGTCTACCTGAGAAATTTGGGCTTTAATTGAATTAATTTAAGTAGTTCTGTAGCTAACCACTAGCTATAAGACAACTTAAACTAATTCAATTAAAGCCCAAGTTTCTCAGGTAGACTGTTGTTGTTAAGTGCCGTGGAGTCGGTTTCGACTCATAGCGACACTGCACAGGGTATCCAAGGCTGTAAATCTTACAGGAGCAGAAAGCCTCATCTTTCTCCCATGGAACAGCTGGTAGTTTCGAACTGCTGACCTTGCGGTTCACAGCCCAATTCATAACCTCTACGCTACCAGATCTCCTTTCAGGTAGACTAGCCATGTTTAAAGAGTTCAGTATCCATTTGTGCAGCAGTGTTGGACATTATAGATGTAGAACTATTCTGTCATTGCAGAAAATTCTATCAAATAGTCTTGGAGAATCCCAGTGGAATTAGCCCTACTTATTCACAGAGGTACCAGTGCAACCAAAAATGCTAACTTATTCTTGAGCTATTTCCCCTGTTTTACCCTTCCTAGACTCCTACTCTGTTCCCAGGGTTGACTTTTCAAATGTATTACCTGTATGCAAGCTCTTCTCTTGTGCCCTGCTTTCTAGAGGAAATCCAGTTTAGTCAGGAACTTATTATATTTCCTTCAATTTTATGATCACCTCTTGATTTATAAAGGGTTTTCTAAGGATTGAGGAACATTATCTTATTAAATATACATTATCAACGTAGTGGTTATGGATTGGGCTGTTAATCTTACGGTCAGCAGTTCGAAACTACCAGCTGTTCCGTGGGAGAAAGATGAGGCATTCTGCTCCCGTAAAGATTTACACCGCTCTGAGTTGGAACCGACTCCACGGCACATAACAACAACATCAATGGAAAGAATCATTAGAGTTTTGTTGTTGCTAGGTGACATCAAGTTGGTTCTAACTCGTAGCAACCTTATGTACAACAAAAGGAAACACTGCCCAGTCCTGCACCATCCTCAGAATCATTGTTAAACTTGAATCCACTGCTGTGTCCACTGTGCTAGTGCTTCTCGTTGGGGGTCTTCCTCTTTTTCTCTGATCTTCCATTTTACCAAGTAGGATACCCTTCCCCAGCAACTGGTCCCTCCCTCCTGATATATTCGAAGTATGAGAGATGAAGTCTCGCCATCCTGGCTTCTAAGGATCATTCTGGCTGCACTTCTTCCAACACAGATTGATTTATTCTTTTGGCAGTCCATGGCACTTTCAATATTCTCCTCCAACACCATAACTCAAATGCATTAATTCTTCTGTGGTCTTCCTTACTCACTGTCCAACTTTCACATGTATAGGAAGCTATTGAAAATACCATGACTTGGGTCAGGCTCACTTTAGTCCTCAAATTGACATCTTTGCTCTTTGAATACTTTAAAGAGGGCTTGTGCAGTAAATTTGCCTAATGCAATATGAGTGTTGATAGTGAATCCAAGCAAAGTGAAGTCTTTGAAAACTTCAATCTCTTGTCCATTTATTATGATGCTATTTATTGGTGCAGTTGTGAAGATTTTTGTTTTCTTTATGTTGAGGTGCAATCCATAATGAAGGCTGTGGTCTTTTATCTTCATCAGTATTTTAAGTCCTCTTTGCTTTCAGCAAGCAAGGTTGTATCATCTGCACATCACAGGTTGTTAATAAGTCTTTCTCTAATTCTGCTGCCACATTCTTCTTCATATAATCCAATTTCTAGGATTATTTGCTCAGCATACAGATTGAATAAGTATGGTGAAAAATACAGTCCTGACACATACCTTTCTGGATTTTTAAACCATTCAGTGTTCTTTTGTTCTGTTCGAACGACTGCCTCTTGGTGTATGTATAGGTTCCTCATGAGCACAATTAAATGTTCCAGAATGCTCATTCTCCATTATGTTGTCCATACTTGTCATGATCCACACAGTCAAAAGCCTTTGCATAGTCAATGAAGCACAGGTAAACATTTTTAGAGTTAGGAAATGTGGAAATAAAGAAATCTTATTTATAGCAAAAGATTACTTCTCTGAATATGCCTATTTTAAGCCATAGACTTCGGAAAAGAAAAACAAAAAACCTACGTTTTTGGTGTTTCTGAAAAACTGGAGCTAATTATTTATTTTAATCGCAGTGTTGAACACACTGTTTGGAAAATAGAAGGCATTCATTAAATAGTTGTTCAATTTAAGAAGAGTAATGTTAAATTGGAGTCCTGGTGTGGCGCTATGGGTTAATGCGTCAGACTGCAAAGTCATTTGAACTGCAAGGTCAGTGGTTCCAGCTTACCACCTGCTCCTTGGAAACCCTGTGGAATCAACTCGATGGCACTTAACAACAACACTAATGTTCAATTAACATCACTCCTCTTCATAAAACTTTATGATTGTGTCGCATATTGTAAGGGTCCTGCCTATTGTGTTAAATTGAAAAATAAATGTATAACATTAACTGAGGAATCACTAAGAGCTCCGTGCTAAATGCATCATTGTTAACATTCTCATTTAACTCATTTGAATCCTATGAAGTACATAAGATTGCCCTCTGTAATAGACAAAACAGCAGTAAACAAAAAAGTTTAAGTAACTTGCTCAAGGACATACCAATTCCATGTGGTAGATCAGAGCAGTTTCAAAGAGGG